TGTAGTTTTATTCATGATTTCACATAATTGTACAGGATATTGCTATATTATTTGACATGTTTAACTTCTACACATTAATATCTGATTTGTAAAACATCACAGACAGAAAGGTATATACATCATTTAATGGTAAGCTATTGAAATTCTGAATCCATAGATGTGTCTCCCATCACCCAAATCCCCTGACTATTCTCAGAACTCAGTATTTACATTCTTTAATTCAAAGAAAATCAATAATATCTTTAAAAACTAGTCCCTGTCTATCAGCTGTGCACTGTTATGGTGTAAATATAACCTATCTACCAATTGGATCAAATATAAAAGTCACCCGAATTAGTATTGATACTGCAAGGAGACGTATTGTGAGAAGAGAAATTGAAGATGTTGTTTAATTGCTGATATATTTATGATCCACGTCACGTATTCAGTTTTGGTGGCAGTTCTTCCAGTTTGTCCAGAAGTCTTCTCATCAGGGCTCTATAAATAAAGAACTACGGCAGATGTGTAATATTTAATGCAGCCGAACCGTGTATTACAATGGCGCTATGTGATGACTTTGAAAGAGAAAAGCAAGCACACTCGGAATAAAGTATTATTTATTTTTTTGTTTTATGTTTTCAGATTTCACATCGCATAAACACCATATCCCAACGTGCATTGCGGCTAAAACATCCAATCACCGAGCTTCAACCATAGCTGAGGATCTTGGGTAATCAGTTCAGTGGGTGTGTATCGAACGTCTGTTTCCGGTGACTTTATTTTGAAATTCAGTTCCTGACGGACGGCAAAAAAGCCCGACATTATAGAGTTAAACAAATAAATAAAAGCAAGGATGATTGTGTGTTATTGTTGAGTAAATAACAGTGTGTTATTTAGAAAATAATAACAACTTAGAAGGAAAAAAAGATTTAAAAAAATACATATTTCAGTATTCTGAGCCTCATTTCCTCTCCTCACGGATGGCAAAAAAAGTCCGACATTATACGATTTAAAATAAAAACAATAATCATGGCTTGATATTGAGTAAGAAAATGTTTTTATGAACCACACAGCTTCCGGTCTTCCAAGACCCGAACGGACAAAAATACGTGGTGCAGGCACGAAACATACTACCAATTGAAACACATTGCTTTTAAAATTGTTCTGTGTGACACGAAAAAAAGGGGAAAATCGTGTTGGTGAACACGAATCAATAGATTACATGTTGTGACTATAACACGAAATTCCGTGAGACTGGGTTGGAATATCAATACCATTCTGTACAGCAAATTAGCAGTTAGCTTAGCATAAAACTGGAAGGAGTAGGAAACAGGAAGCCTGGTTGTGTTAACAATTAAACTATTTCCTCACTGAACAGCCGGTCACAGTAACTGCCTGCAGTGTTGTTGTCACTGTGACGACAATCAATAGACACTGCACAGTTGCTAAAAATGGTGCTAGCATGTTACTCTGCTCAAAAAGAAATGTTTTCTTGGTTATATAATATATATTTTAGTTTGTAAACTTTAAAGTTGCTGGTAATTATTACTACAGTCAGATCTGTTTTCCTCCTTTCCTATCTTGGTGCAAAGCTAAGTGAAGGGTACATTGAATATTCATATACTCAGGTGGCTGGTCTGTTTGAACTACGGTCTTAACCAACAATGGAACTTCGCTCAGAAATTCACTTTTCTTGGTTTGCCTTATCAAAGTGTGTCAGTGTTGTGCGCCTGGCACAGAAACAAGCACTTCAGCTTTGAGCTTTCAGTTTTCGCCTCCTAGAGAACAAAAGTAAACACATGCTGGCACAAGAGCGTGTAGGAGCATTATGAAAACACAAATAAGCGGAGTTCAGCAGGAGAGGAAAGGAAATTAGAGATAAAGAGAGTGAAGGATGCTTTGATTTAATTTCAGAATTTCCTTTTACCTTTGCCTGTATTTACATTATCGTAGCGGGAGACTGTGGCAGAAGGGATTGCGTAAAACCTCCTTACTGAAGCTTGACAAGCCATTTTTCACGGTATGTTGATTTTTCATCTCATCTCTGTGTGAGGACAGAGCAGGTTGCTGTGGTGCGACTTCTCAGAATAGTTGGAGTGGCACATGCACATTCTGCACCTCTTGGTATTTGAAAACCCATCAACCATTTAAAATGGCTTCCTCTCTTTCTCTCTCTCTTTCATTGACTTTCACTGATTGGATGAGGAAATCACAGCAAACATAGCCCATGTCCAGACTAAAGCAGATACATCACAGAAAAATGTATCTTATATGCGCGAAAATAGCCTTCTATTTCTCTACTCATTCAAAATTGCACCTTTCGTGTTGATCGGCAAAACATCCAAAATCTGAATGTAATGTGTGCTGGTTATGTGGTTATGCTTTTCTTGTCATGTCATTGATTTAAAGAAATGTAGGCTTCTTTCATTTCTTCAAGCAAGTAAACATTTAAAAAAACCTCTGGAGGAAATACTGCAAAGCTTCAGTTCTGCAAAAGCCAAAAAGAAGAGATCAGAGCCTTTTTTTGTTGTTTTGGTATTTCAAGGATGCTAAACTTTCAGAATACAACCAGAACATGCCCTGTGGACAGAAAAAAACCTTAAACGTTTTTGAATTTACCCACTTGAGTTTGGACATAGTCTTACACCAAGTTACTGTAATGACAATCCTAGATGTGCACTGCTCATGCACTACATCGTCTTACAGTCACACATTCTCACTGTCACTGTGAAGTGGCCACATGCAGTACATTTATGCAAATACATAAGAACTGCTAATCTCTCCCCCAGCCTCACATACATGCTCATGCAGAGATATGCTGGCACAATATGCCACCCACAACCCAAACATACGCACACAAATGTACAGACATACAAAGACGCAAAAGGCCCTGCGCACTCTCCTTTAACAAGGCTCATCGTCACGGTAACTCGCCTTATATAACAGAAAAAGCTGCTTGTGTCAAACGGAGGCGGCACAGCATATTCTCCCACTGCCTTAGCTGCTTGAATACCTGAATACTAGAGTGTGTGTGTGTGTGTGTGTGTGTGGTGTGTGTGTGTGTGTGTGTGTGTGTGTGTGTGTGTGTGTGTGTGTGTGTGTGTGTGTGTGTGTGTGTGTGTGTGTGTGTGTGTGTGTGCGACAGAAGAGGCACAAGCCTGTGCGTGAGAGCAAACGAGTGAAGGTTTTGTGTGTTTGTGCGTGCATGCGTTAGCCCATGTGTGCGTACTGTGGATGTAGGTGAGGGGGTTTACATATTTGTTTGTGTGTGTGCGGGCAGATGTGTGTGGTTGTGTTTGTGTGTTATATTCAAGGCATGTACTGGCATTTGAAAAGAAGGACAAATAAAGATGAGTGAAAGAAAGAAGATGTGGGGGAAGGAGGGAACATGTTCACCACTGTGTGTTTGTGTTCGGTGCATTCAATGTCTCTCATAATGAATACATGTTTGAGGGCCGCCCGGACGTGGGAGTACGGGGGCTTAGCACTGTTGAAGGAATAATCCACTGGGGGATGGGCTCCATGCTTTTCTCCAACACTAAGCCTTATGGAGGAGAACAGCGAAAGAGAGCACTCAACCCCTTTCCCCGGGCCACTTCTCCAGGGATATATGCAAAAAGCCAAAGCACTTTCTCACACATCCTCTCCCCTCTCTCTCTGCCGCTCTGCCTCTCTCTCCCAGTCTCTCCCATCTGTTCAGTGTGACACATCCCTGCGTTGCCATCATTACTGCTAATAGCAACTCTAATGTGTCACTGTTGCCAGGGTTTAGCACCTCTCCGTCACAAATTGTCTCCTCTACGGTGCATAATGTTGTTAGTTCACCCCACCTGAATCTTAATGCTTTACACCAAGCACACCGTATGTTTGTACAGCGTGACTAAATGAAATCATGACGAGATTTGGAATAGACACCACATTAAAGATGGAAGATAGAATAATCATCAAAACCTGATGTAAACAAGCAGCAGTTCATTCATATTTAAGTCGAACTGGAATAAAAAAATGTTTTGCTGATATATCTTGGTGTTTGCTTTATCTTGTGTCCTTTTCTGTGAAAATTGCCACTACCAAATAAGATATGCAAAATGGCACAATGGGTGATTGTGTCCCATGTCCTAATTTGGTCCAAAATGACAATGTTTGTACCCGTAATTAGATTGTATCTGTGTGAAAGAACACTAAAACAGCTTGAGTGGTCGGACACTTCCAATGTTACTCTGTTTAGATCATGTGGGAGGACAACCATGACATGTCACCCATGTGCATCACTTTTTAGTGTAATTCTAAATGTTGTGATGCTCAGGGCTGTGTTCAAAATTGCATATTCATATAATTTACTACTGTAAAGTTTGCCATTATCAACAGACTGTTCACACTTAAGTATACTCGAGAAAAACAGCCAGCATCATCCAGCCATCAGCTCCCCCCTATGTCTCCTAAAACGCAACAGCGAAGCTATAAAAAACAGGCTTTATTTGGATACTGATCACACATTGGAGCGTACTTCTCACATCCACAAAATACACATATGCAGTGGGAACGCACCATGAACTCAATTTGACATCATATTTAGTATACAAAGTGTGTCAGTAGGTCTTTCTGAACACAGCCTTTTACTCAGCTCAGGTCATATGAACTTCCTGTAGTTAATGTCGGTCGCCTGGTGAGTGCGACCATAGAGCTAGCTGTTTACAGTCGTTGTGCTGAATATTAGATGCACAAGCAAGAGAGTTGTGTACATTTTCTCCCAGAAAACTCTCAGAAAGAAAGCAAATGTATGTATTTCCTGAGATATTGAAGTCTTTATTTTACAAATGATGGGCCCCTTCAAAGGATCAGTGTTGTAAACCAACATGTGTCTTGCTTTTTTTACATAAATAGTGTAAGTTAAAATAAATCAGTTTGACAATCTATAGTAATGTAGGATAAACCTGTTAAAGAAACAGTTTTATCTACTTCTTTTCTAGGAGCAGGTCATTCAGCATGGGTACTTTTTAAAATTCACTGTGGTCACTCACAGGTGTTGCGACCTGGGGATGGGGAGACTGGCAAACAAGAGGACATCCTCATCTCCATGGTAACACCACAATGATGTGCAGGAGCCGGAGCGACACAAATGCATAGTAATTTCTCTCTGGCTTAGAGGACCCTTTTATGAGTGTGAAGTGTTACATATGGCTCTCTCCTGCTGTTCTAAAGGGAGATCATGCTACATAGCAATTACTGCATGTTTTATATCTCTAATGACCTCACATACAGCCAAGAGATCCAACATCTGCTGTGTGAAATGATCAGTAAGGAGCCTAATGATAGAGTCGGCCTCACCACCTACTGTCTTCTCATTCATTGTCTTTTCTCTCTGATTGCCATCAGATAAAACGCTGGCGTAATCAGACGTGGCAACACTGTATTCTTCTGCAGGCACGGTCGTCCATAACAAAATCACCGGAGTACTCGCAAGTCTCTAAGCAATTATAAATCTGTCAATCTACATAATGTAGAGGAAATGAGTGACATAAACAGCCGGAGACCGGGGAGATGCTGTCGAGTAAGAAAATCCAAAGAAGGAGGTTTGAGGATAGAAAATGGGAAAGAGAAGTAAGAAACTAAGTCATTAATAAATAACCAGCTGAAAAGGGGTTTTTAATTCTTTGGGGTGTTGAAAAGTCTATGATGTGCCAACTAGCAAGTGTCCTGCTGATTCGCCGGTTCCACGCGCCTCCTCTTTATCTTCCCCTGCTTTAAACACCCTGAGCTGCTGCCTTCCTATGCACCCTAAAGCCGAGAGTCCCTCCTGGCACTCCTCAGCCCCTGCAGAGCTGCAGCCCCCCTGACACATGCCTCTCTTCTCCTGCCGGGTTTCAGCCAGGGTCCGTCCCTCTACAGGACTGCAGGACCAAGGACAGCCTGCCTGTCCAGATTACTGATAATTAGAGAGGCAGATTAGAGCCCAAGTGTCCAGATGGCTGATTGATTGATTGATTGAAAAGTTTATTAACAGCTTGTATATTGGGTACAGTACAGTACAGCTCAAAACATACAATTGTTAAGGGGATGCAGACCAGAGAAAGACTTTCGTCTTGTTTACATCAGGGTCCCCCATTTCCAATTCATCATAGCTGAGGTGAATCCCGTCCAAGCAACAGCGCTGACAGACACATTTACAACTCACTGCTTAGAACAACACTCGTCTGGTCAGCAGACACACTTACTGCTTACCGCTCTTTCAAGCTGTTAACACCACAGAAGATTGAGTGTACCGGTTACAATGTTACTATCATTTATAACTAATCCATAAAAACCTTGTTATTCCGAAATTATGGATAAAAAGTTTAAGATGCAAAAAAATATTGTTTTCCTTCTGATAGTGATTGATGGCATGCAATTAAAAGTTGTCATATTGAAGTAATTTGCCTTCATGAGACATTCATTTGCAAAGAGAACAGGTTTTGTATCAGTTAGAAACAGATTAAGAGACAATATGTCCCTGGGCACAAATACATAAAAGCAACGAGTTATAAGGTTCAATATTTTAATACAAAAAAACATAAAGTAAACCCATCAATGTACCAACGCTAATTACCAAATCGTAGGGAATGTCCCTCATCAAATAAAAACAGAGATAAAAACAGCTTTAAAATATATTAAAAAACATTATAAAGATGGAGGGGGTAAAATAACAACCCTTCAAACAACAGCAGAAAAACACACCAGGTTTAAAAATCCTGGATTGTAAATAATAAATAATTTGGCTCACAAAGAACCAAAATCTATTATAAATGTATGATTTTTCAACCTTAAAACATTTGATCTAACCATTTACATAATTGAAAATGTCCGTTGCAGCTTAGTCTAGCAACAGGAAGTCCAACTGTCCTCCAACTGTTTTTTTCGGTTATTGCACCACTTCCACCTCGCTTCCCCAAATCTGGTATTTGTACCCTATTTGAACTGCTCCTCTTCCTCACATTTCTAACAGTCGCTGTGGTTCTGTCTATGATGAACTTTACTTCTTGGATTCTCCTTTTTGTTGCTTTTGTTTTTTATCCTACCACTTGCTTGAGAGATATAGTCACAGTTAAAAAGCTGCAGTGCTTTGCACCATAGTGACCTAATCTGCTCCTTCTCAGCTGCTAGATCGTGTCCCTTGTTAACTCCCTCCTCCGCCTGTCTCCCCCCTTGGGTATGGCATCTACCTGACCTTGCATGATAGAGTTTGTGGGCCAATATGCTTTGTGATAGCTTCTCTGCAGCAGAGGTGTGTGAGAAGGAGGAGGAGGAGGAGTGTACCCATGCTGGAGGATAGAGCAGTGCAGTGACAGTACACATCTGACTCCGTGCCTTGCTCACTATAAATAACCCATCACACAATGAGATAAAGATGCCCCGAGCCAGTGCTACTGTACTGTGAGCACGTGGGCGCAGCGTACGCGAGCCGCGGTGTCGTCAAGGATAAACAAAAACACAACAGGGCTCGAAGCTCACGTACTTGTACATGTGCAAATTAACAAAAAGCATGCAAAGCTCTTGGCTGGCGTATTCACGTACCATGCGCACACACAAATATGTAACGTCTTAATGGAGAAAGCGGTGGTAGGCCTCAGGCTGCGGCTCTCTCTCTCTCTCCGGTCGCCCATTACATGCTCCTATTGGCCCCGCTACTCCAGGTAATTAGCAGCAATGGTGCTTTTCCATACAAGCGTGGACTTCTCCTGTTTATTGCTGTCAGGAGAGCGCTAGGGAGGCAAAATGGCTTGTTTGTTTGCTAATGCCTTTTTAACTGATCACAAAGAAGAGTGAAAAGCAGCCAGCCAATTAGAGCCACAAACCTCACAGCTCCGAGTCATTAGAGGATTGTTGCACATCTTCTCCAACTTCCCCACCCTGTGTGTGTGTGTGTGTGTGTGTGTGTGTGTGTGTGTGTGTGTGTGTGTGTGTGTGTGTGTGTGTGTGTGTGTGTGTGTGTGTGTGTGTGTGTGTGTGTGTGTGTGTGTGTGTGTGTGTGGACAACTGCCTGCTCAGCAAATGTGTGACACAGGGAGTGCACCTAGTTCATTGCCCCCACGTGGCTCTCATACCAACCCAACACAGACGCCAAAACACTCATCCAGCCTGTCCGCCAAAACATCCACGTAAGCACAAACACCAGGACAAAAAAGAAAACAGAGCCAAATCATACTGGCACACAGATCTAAAAGTGAACAAGGCATCAAGGCTGAGAAGACGTACATTAGCGCAGATCCACAGCAGATGGTTGCAGCTGAATGAGCAGAAACAGCAGCACGATAGCACACGCTCAGATGTTGAGAAAATGACTCATTGTGGTGCTGTTGTCACCTCTGTCACTTGTTTTGTATTCATAAAAGAAGATGCGGTCTGGGAAGCAGGGCTGTTAATAGTCACAGCTCGTGTTTCATGTAAATATGTGAAAGGAAATCTTGTTTCTTTTATGTAATCTCACTATGAATCAATATTAACCCCGACCGTACTGAGTGATTCTGTGGATCTATATCTGTGCGGTGTAACTGAATCTCCCTGTGAGTGTTGACAGAGAGGACAGGCGGCAGAGGAACCCATTACAGCACGGCCCAGTGAGGGCTTTGTTTGTCAGGGGCGGTCTAGCACCTCTTCCAATAACAGGATATTTCATGCTGCTCAGGAACAGAGATAAGATGGGAACACCAAATCCTTCCCCGGTTAAATACCATCAGATTCTCATCTAGCTCCTTCCAGGTTATCTGTCTTACTGTCTCTCTGCTTCCTTGCCCCATTTTTCCAATCCCTTTATTCCTAACGTACATCCGTTCCTTCTCCTCTCTCTTATTTTCTTTCTCCGAATAGGGGAAGTGATGACCCAGCTGGCAACAAGACAAGTGGATCATTCTAAGAGAGGAAAGCGGATCGGGCCAAGGCTGCAGTGACACCACAGGAATACAGCATGGGTCAAATCACTGCCTCGAAGTACAGAGTCTTGTTCTCTCAGGGCTAATTGTCTTTTTGCCTGGTATGGCAAGAGTTAAATAATGAATGATGCTCGCTCACTTAGAAATTGTATTAAAGTCAAACTGTGTGGTAGGAACACAAGGATATAAATACAACTAAATACATAATTTCATTAAGTTGATGTGTGGTGAGCAAATAATGCAATTTGCTAAATCGTTTTTCCAAAAGACAGAGAATATTTCATGTTAAAATATCTTTATTGTGTAACGCTGCATAGAACAGGCATACTACTATAGTGACACAACTAGAACTTGCTTTTTGTTTGGTGGACTTAACTTTTGAGTCACAAGTTTCACAACCGAGCTCTAAAACAATAAGAAATAAAAAACAGCATTTCATCCCAGCTCGGCTTGTGGACGCTGCTGCTGCTCAATGTCAGTGTCAACACTTCTCACACATTTACTGTTGAATGTCGAGTCTCAAGGCTACTCATGGAGGTAGAGAATGACACTGATGCCTGACATTTCACACATGAAGCATGTGTCTCCATGCTTGTGCTAATGACTGACCTTGGCGCTCTCGTGTTGCATGTGTGTGTTGCAGGACAGAGACTAAGGGAAGGTTTCTGTTAGTTGAAGACACACTGCAGGCACGTATCGACTCTCATTCTCGATCGCAACAAAAAAGACATCATTCCGGGAAGGCTGCAACATAAATGTTTCAAAAGTTTTTGTGAAGCTCATCAGCTATGCTTTTATCTAGACCAGACTGAGGTCAGGTTTAGAGGTCTTATACTAAGGTAATCAGCATGTGATAAGCTCTTGGTAAACAACGGACTCATAGGACAGCCTCACCTACACAAACATGACCCTGGTTGTTGTTTGAGTGCCTCTTCTCTGTCTGTGCTCCATAAAGAAATGAAGCTTTTTAATTAACAGATCATATACATGTGTAGTCTTTGTGCAGCTATGGTATTTCACTTTTCTGGATTTGTACTGTAATTGGGTCAATTACTTGAAACAAAATATGGATTTTGTGAGCTGTTTTCAAAGAGGCTGGTATCTATGCATGTCCTAATTTCTATCCTGGCTCTGTTTTCTGGTCAACTGCTCATTGAAAGACCCGGCTGAGAA